CCGAATGACCTGGCACTGAGGTCAAATATCGAATAACCTGACACTGAGGTCGAAATCTGAATGACTTTTCACTAACGTAGAAAATCGAAGGACCTGCCTCTGAGGTCGAATACTGAATGACCATTTACTGAGGTTGAAAACTGAATGACCTTCCACTCAGGTTGAAAATTGAATGAACTTCCACTGAGGTTGAAAACCGAATGACCGCCGATGAGGTCGAATACCTAAGGACTATCCATTGAGGTAGAAACCCGAATGACCTTCCATTGAGGTTGAAAACTGAAGGACCTACCACTGAGGTCCAATACCGAATGACCTGCCACTGGGGTTGAGTACCGAATGACCATCCACTGAGGTTGAAAACCAAATGACCTTCTAATGAAGTTGAAAACCGAATGATCTTTCACTGAGGTCGAAAATCAAATGACCGGCGATGATGTCAAATACTGAATGACCATCCACTGAGCCAAAAAACCGAATGACCTTCCACTGGGGTCAACAGCCGAATGACCTTCCACTGAGGTTGAATACCGAATGACGTGCCATTGAGGTCGAATACCGAATGACCATCCTCTGAGGTTGAAAACAGAATGACCTTCCACTGAGGTCGAATACTGAATGACCTTCAACTGAGGTCGAAAACCGAATGACCTGTTGATAGATTTTCTCGATCTCTCCCCAAAGTCTTGAATTAAAAAATTTGAACTCACGTGTGCTGTTTTTCGATCACAATGTTCAAGCTCTCTTCGATGAAAGATACACCTTTTCTACCACTTCGCCCTATCGCTCCTCAATTCAAAAGTTGAAATTCAACCTTGTTGTTCTCACTTTCTCAATCAATCTTTACCATCGATTTCGACTTACCTCCAACGACTGAAAGTGCTCGACCTTCTTTCGAGGTCTGTCACCAAGGTCTGCGAATACGCTTCGTGATTAGCACCAAGTAAAAAACATCGACTTGCCGCTACCATCGAGGTCTACAAATAAATTTCGTGACATGCACCAAGTGAACTCCATCGACCTGCCACCGAGGTCGTCGAATAATCTCCATGAATTGCACGAAATGAGCTCCATCTACCTGCCACTGAGGTCAAAAAACAAATTCCAAAAAATCAAACCAAGTAATAAACCATCAACTGCTCGAGATATCCGTCTTCTCTGTTTTCAACGACCCAACACTAGGATCGACCCAACTTGAAAGCCATAATCATGGTGGATTTTGATTTCGAGCACTTGCTCAACCCAGCTCTAGGATTGTTCAAAACAAGCGCCACCTAGCCCAAAGGCCTTAATTATGGTGGATTTTTGAGTTCGAGCACTTGCCCAACCCCCCTCTGGGGTTGTTCAAAACAAGCGACCACCCAACTCGAAGACCTTAATCATGGTGGAATTTTGAGTTTGAGCACTTGTCCAACCCCCTTTTAGGGTTTGTTCAAAACAAGCGACCACCCATCCCGAAGGTCTTAATCATGGTGGATTTTTGAGTTCGAGCACTTGCCCAACCCCTCTTTTAGGGTTGTTCAAAACGAGCGATCACCCAGGCCGAAGGCCTTAATGATGGTGGATTTTTTATTTCGAGCACTTGCCCAACCCTCCTCTGGGGTTGTTCAAAACAAACGACCACCCAGCCCAAAGGCCTTAATCATGGTACATTTTTTAGTTCGAGCACTTACCAAACCCCTCTCTGGGATTGTTCAAAACAAGCGATCACCCAACCCCAGGGCCTTAGTCATGGTGGATTTTTTATTTCGAGCACTTGCCCAACCCCCCTTTGGAATTGTTCAAAACAAGCGACCACCTAGCCCGGAGGCCTTAATCATAGTGGATTTTGATTTCCGCACAGCTCGAAAACTTTGACATGCCACTAAGGTCGAAAAGAAACATATCGAACACAACGAGATAGGATAATAATCCATCATTTTAATTAATGTCACATAAAGCACAATTATATCGAACATGATTAAAAAAAAATCAAGAATATTTTTTTTTACCTCCCTTTCCTGTTTATACATGACGACTCGAGACTGGCCAGCCCGAAGGCCTTAGTCATGCAAGATTTTTTCTTCAAGGCTCCACATACACTTCATTTTATGCATTTTGTTAGTCACCCAAATAATAATTCCAAATATGTCCATATACACCACAATCTCAGTAACACTTTGCCAAAATTATTCAAATAGTGAACATTTCTCCAAAAAACAGAATGTTGAGAGACTCGATGTGTCAATAAATCGTGTCAATCAAACTTGACCGCTGACAAGTGTTGAGATTAATTTTATATCTGAAGGTCGAGAATATCAGTCGAAATTATCCTACCTCTCCAAAAGAGAATTATTTCTGTCTTTGAGACTGTCACCGTCGATCAGCACCATCAAAGTTCATCCCTCACTATCACCACGCTTTGATAGATTCATGCTTGCTCATTTTGTCCTCGAAACTCAACGACTCATCCGCAATAGCTTGTCAAGACTCGAGTCCTTTTATTGTTTCCACATGAGTTGTCGACGTAGGTCTCTGAGACCCGCATCACTTAATGTATCCTCCTGATTTGTTTACACCATTCATCGAGGACCAAATTATCTTGCTAAAGAGTTTATATATATGTTCGGTCCCCATACTCATGGATTTTCCTCGACAAGAATTCAAAGAGATATCATTAGTCGTATTTTACCCACATCATCCAATTCGCAATTCCGATAGCAATAAGAACAAGAGATGAATAAATTAAAGCAGTCAAATTGGTCCACGTACTTTTATACCACACTTCAATCTACAGACAAGCATGTTTACCATGATATGTGATCACATAAACACATACTCAAAGGCACAATCGACCAGAACTTCAGAGAACCATGAATTCAACAAACAATTACAACAAACCTTACTCTGCAGATACAAAAAATCATTAAAATGCACATTTTTCGACCACATACCAAGACCATAAAAATCAAATTAAATCACAATTCTCGATTGTTTGCAAAACACCTAAATTCAAACCACTTGCCCACCCACGGAAATTCAAATGAGTTGCTCACAACACCAAACTCATTAATTTAAATTCAGTCAACTTCTTTGAGCCCACCAACAAAAAATGACAAACGCACAAAACACACGATAAGCACAATCACGAAATATCTTCAACTCAAAATTACGACCCACATTTATTTTCGACCAAACTTGCTTGATTAGTGCTTTGTAAAATATAGTTCGCCTCTCCAAATGTACCGAATAAACCAATTAATTTTTCAACGAATAAACCTAATAATTTTTTAATTCTCACTAATTTAAAATCCTTTGGACCCATCATTTAAATTGATCACATACCTGGATTATAATAATGTTACCTCAATTACCTCACCATCCACGTCGTATCATCCCGGACTTTCCATGGACTCACCGTTGCTTCCGGACCCCTACTGGGCCATCCAGGCTCTAACTAGGTTGTTTGGGCGTAGCCCGGTGCGCACTGGGCCACGCTGGAGAAGTTGAGCGCGAATGGCTATACTGGAGGAGGCTGGACACGCCATTGATCGCGCTGGAGTAGGCTGGACATGTCATGGGCCACGACTGCACCTTTGGGCCTCTACGATGTACGCCTGTTGGGTAGAGGAGACGCGTTGTACGCACGCGAGCTGGAGCGTTGGCTTAACGCGGGCCAGATGTAGGGGAAGGACGTGGGCTGTGCGCTGGGCCATACGCAGGCTAGAAGTGGGCCGCGCGGGGTGGATGCGGCCCGCGCGCTGAAGTTGTTGGGCGTTGGACTCCCTCTTGGGCCCTCCTCATTGGGCCTTCACTTGGGCCCTCTTTGTGGGCATGGATGCGGGCTGGGGGATGGCAACGACCTGGGCCACTTTACTCGTTGGGCAAACTGGGCCGGCGGCGAGCTGCTAGAACCAACACTTGGTGAATGGGCATGGAGCAAGTGGGTGGCTCGCCGGAAAAAAATGCCGGCTCCGGTGGAGGTGACTGGCCGAGAGTATGTCTCGACGAGGAGATTGCGATAAGTGGATCGCTGAAAATCACAGGAAAATTAGAGAAGAAGACCGGAGTTCACCAAAATTTCTTAGATCCAAAAACTTTCACCAGCAAAATTGACAACCTTCTTGGTGGAATTTTCGCTTGAAATTTTTGGAGGATGACGAGCGCGAGAAGAGCTTCGCGATGATATAATTTCTTTTATGATCAGACGACTTTGGCCGGCGGCGGCTGGTGAAGGCAAGTTGTTGTAGATTCGCCTCAGTGAGAGGATTCCGGTGGTACCCTCGGATTTTTGATAGCCCTTACGGATTGCCGGGAAAATGGATTTGAAGGTCGGATGCTAACCGGAATTTCTTAGATCCAGAATGTTTGACCGGCGGAATTGACGGCCTTCCCGCTAGAATTTTGGCCTGAAATTTTAATTGAAGAACCACCTCGATGAGATCTACCCGGTGACGTAAAAAATTTTATGATCGGAGCACTTTGGCCGACGGTCGACGGCGGCGGTTGCCGGCAGAGGTGAAGAAGATTGCTAGAAAATTTCGGAATTTTTCGGTCGGAACTCCGTTTGCCAAAGTCGATTTTTCGGCTTTTTGAACGGTTCCCACATACGACGCCAATGTTGGTGAAATGAACTTCACCCGGGCTCCTTCAACTCGGACGACCTCCGTACCGGCAAGAACTCAACGTCGGAAGGGGTCCGACATCGAGCCTCTTATAATAATGGGAGTATAATAATGAATGTAGAGAGAATGAGTTCCCGGAATACCTTAGGTACTTTTATATGGGAGGTGTACCTTAGTACACAAGTTAAACTTGACCAATACCATTATGCCATGTGTCTTAATGCATGTGTCGGCTTATTTTTTAATATATTTTTTCTTATCCATTAGAACCGTATGATATTCCATAAACATGCCCTAAAATTTTCATCAAATTATGGAGTGTGTGTGTGTGTGTTTGACTCCACTACATTTAAAGAGGACCAAAGAGAACAGGTGGCAGCCCATTACAACCCGTGACCCGCTACAAAGAGGTCCAGACAGCACACGCCCTTGGAGCTGTGCCTGTGCGACTGTTGAGTGTGTAGTGAGAAGAAAAAGAATGAAGGACAGAGGCGCGGAGCGCTCTGTGGAGGACCGCTACACGCAGTGGAAATCCCTTGTTCCCGTCCTCTACGACTGGCTCGCCAATCACAACCTCGTTTGGCCTTCCCTTTCTTGCCGGTACATTTTCTTTTTCCTTTTGTTTTTTCTCTAGGGTTTTATGTCATTTTGCTGTTCTTGTTTGTTTTGAAGTTCGATTGTCTTCCTTTATGTCTTATGTGTCTAAAGATTTGTGGGTTTGCTTTTTTCTCGATTTCTATTTATTGTTGAAAGTTTGGAAATTTTTGACAAAATTTTGGTTTTGCTGAGTGCATGGGGAGACGGACACGCTGATTGTTTGGCTGTATACTTGCTTCACGGCGCGTGGTCGTGCCTTTCTTTATTTTATTTTTTTTTTACTTTTTAGTTTTGGGCTTCCTGAGTTTGCATTTGTTGCTGGTAATAAAGGGTGTTGAATTTCTGAAAAGTTTTGTGGGATGGTCTTGGATTAGAAATGTCTTACCTTTTTTGATTTTTTGTGTAGTCTGAGTATCTATCAGCATTTTGATTTTGCCCCAAATTTGGTTGGTAGCTTTGTTTGCATAACAATATGGTACGTTATGCCTATTTTCATTTGCAAAATGCCTGTTAGAGGATTTGGAAACCAACTGGTCTGATGTCTGTACACAAAATGGAATAAGATTGAAAGGCAGAACCTGAATTTTGAAAAAAAAAAAAAAGGAATTATTGTGTCTTGTTCGGCCGACGGCTGCTCAAATATATCCTCCTTGTTATGTTGTTGGCCCATTGCTCCTTTATAGGGGATGTGAACTAGTTATTGTGTCCCTTCATCTTGTGGCCTATCTAGAAGATGCGGGTAATCTAGAGAAAGTGGACTATTCGCCTCTAAAGGGTTTTGGTGATTAATCAACTACCTTTCATGTAATAAACTTCAAGGATGACCTCACGTGCTCTTCTCAGAAAATTACGACTTAAGCTACAAATATTACATCAACTCATCTGAATTAGGACTTAGGCAATACTGGTGGCCAATCCTCTTGCCAACTTGTAGAGCCGCTGAAAGAAACCTATATAATTGCACCCAAGCTGTCTAGTGTGAATTGGACAGTCACCTTGTTGTTGAGTGTCTCATCATTATTCCAGAATATGAGCTCAGCACATGTTGGGATGTGTAGAACCAGTTTGCATTGGTTTCTTTTTTGGTGCTTATGAATGACAGTTGGCTTTATGTACAGGTTCCATTGTGTTTCCTTGTAGATGCTTGTTTTCCACATTCCACTTTTAGGTTTGTTGGGCGTCCTACTAGTGTTTGCTCTTCACTCGGTTCTGAAGTTTCTCGATTTCCTGGTCTTTTTGTACAACTGGAAGACCTTTCCATATTATTATTTATGAGGAGCTCGATCTTATAAGATTCCCGTAGCTGGTTGGTATTACCCAGTTTGACATTTGCAATGACATGAAATATAAGATATAATGTACCATTGTTGTGGTAATTTTTTGTCTTTATCTCTTATGAAGGGTTATGTGATTGGATGGAGATTGCCCTTTTGGCATATTGGCCAGAAAGTTTGTTGTCGGGTCACTGCTAGAAAGAATAGAAGGCGTACAATTTTTTTCTACAATTCAATGCAACCACATTTTATATTTACATGATTTTTTCCTCTTTTTTTTTTTTTTTTTTTTTTNGTTGAACAAGCAACTTACAAGAATCGTCAGCGTCTATACCTTTCTGAACAGGTATATATAATCAAATCCTTTGAACTATCACATTCAGTAGTGATACTTTTATTCCGTGGGTTTACACTCATTACTTTGGAAATGAGAATAGAATAATACTCTGATGATTTAAAGCTATGAATATTCGTGGATATTTATCATACTTATGATGCATCTTTTTTCTTGAGCTATTTATCGCATCTATATTATCATTGGTAGTGTCAGTTAATGTGATTGGATGAGTCAATATTTGTGGATATTTCTCATATTTATGATACATTTGTTTTTCTTGAACTATTTACCGCATCTATATTATCATTGGTTGTTTGTCAGTTAATGTGATTGGATGAGTCGAGCTTGGTTGTTATTTGTTTGCGTTTATGTACTGTGTTCATTTGTTCACAAGTCTTGATTGTCACTGATTTGTCTTTATCTCCTGCTATTATCTTCATATAGACGGATGGTAGTGTTCCAAATACGCTTGTCATTGCAAATGTTGAAGTTGTGAAAGCAAGAGTTGCAGCAGCAGAACACATAGCACAGGTGATATAATTTACAAAAGTTAAATGCATGTTTTCTTATAGTCATGCCTCTATCTGTATAATTAGCATTACCACACATGCATGCATGTTATTTATCGGTGGGCTTATGCAAACTGTTTATCAGTTATTTTTCTCCTACTATTTTGCTTGTTAATATTTCAGTTCAATGAGGAATCACGTTCACCGTTCGTGAAGAAGAGCAAGACCATCATACACCCTGGCGAGGTATATTCATATCATCGCTCGTTTTTTTCCCCTAAATAAATAGTCATGGGGCACAATGGTGATTCTGATTCTACATTCTATATTTGTAGTTTTTTTTTTCATTTTATTTTTTTCCCCTAGTATTATTGTTTTATTTCCCCTTTTATCTGTTGATTTGTATGTATAAGCGTGTTTGTTAACATGTAATTTGTTCTATTCTATTGCAGGTGAATCGTATCAGGGAACTGCCGCAGAACAGCAATATTGTAGCTACTCATACCGACAGTCCTGATGTAAGTGTTTGTATTGTTAAATTTTTTAAATACTGCCAATCTTTTTTTTTTCCCTAGATATATTATGTTCTGTATCGTTGGTGTATTCCAATTTATCAAACATGTACTTAGATTATGTTGGAATGGGTTAGGTCCTCATTTGGGATGTTGAAACTCAGTCCAATCGTCAACCGGTTTTAGGTGCCACGCCATCTCGTCCTGATCTGGTATGTCCTCAAAAAGCTCTGATTTTACTTTATGACACTAGTAATTTAGTCTACTTGATGCTGATTTATGATCTCTGAACTATTGACTGTGTCCTGAAATTACTGCCCAGAAATGATTAGATTCTTATGTATGCATTGCAAATCCCAAGTTGTTTTCTTTTTTGTTCCCCCTATTTTATTTCCAATCTAGCCATTCGGCAGTGGTATATGTCACTATGTTTCTGCTTAACTATCAGTTTCGAGTATGGTGTTTCATGACTTAATACCCATTCTGGCAGATATTGACTGGACATAAAGATAACGCTGAATTTGCACTATCTATGTCGCCTACTGAACCCTTTGTGCTCTCCGGAGGTACACTCTATGTCTCTCTCTTTCAGTGTGTTTGTGTGTGTGCATAACGTCAACTATTGCTGAATCATTTTTCAAAATTTACTGGATTGTTAGAGGATAGGACAATAAGCACGTGGCTTCAACAAAATGTACTTTGTTTTCTCCTACTGTGTGGAATATGTAGTTTTGGCCAAGTTTTTTGGAAATGTACTTTGTTTTCTCATACTGTGTTTTCTCCTATTGTGTGGAATATGTAGTTTTGGTCAAGGTTTTTAACAGGGCCTGGTGTTAGATAAATTGCTGAGTCATGGTAATCGTAACTTGTATCTGTTGTCTACTGTCAAAACTCATAATAGGCCATCAGCATGAGTGCATCTAATTTAATTTTCTCGTCCTTGGCTTATTCTTCTCTTATCTTTTTTTTTAATCATGCTAGAGGTTCCTATTTCACCATGTTAATGAAGAAAAATTTGTCGCAGGCAAGGATAAGTCAGTAGTTTTGTGGAGCATCCAGGACCATATATCATCTTTGGCAGCAGAAAAAGGAACGCAAAAGTCTCCAGGATCTAAAAGTGTCGGGTCCAATGGTAAACCTGAAAGTACGACTGTTCAAGCTCGAGGGATTTTCCACGGACATGATGATACTGTTGAAGATGTCCAGTTTAACCCATCAAGGTAGTGATGGAGTCTAAGTATATAATGGATAATAAATTTTGTAAAGATGGCTAGATAACATATCATTTGTTACAATATTGTAAGTTTTGTTCCAAAACATCCCTGCCTACATCTATCTATTCATTTTTTTTTTTATTTTTTTATTTATTTATTTTTTTTTATCCATGTTATATGTTCCATCTAACATGCTGAAGAATCTTGTTTCATTCTGGTAAAAGTTAATTCTTTTTGCATCTTTGGGCATGGAGTATTAACGTTAGCTCATTTTTAACTTGTGATGCAGCGCAATGGAGTTCTGCAGTGTTGGTGATGATTCTTGCCTTATATTGTGGGATGCGAGAACGGGCACTTCTCCTGTTGTTAAGGTTCATTCCCATCATCTCTTTTCCAATGCTTGCTTTAATATCCTTCTATTAAATGGTCACTTTTGGCTGTTTCTCACAGGTCGAGAAGGCGCACAATGCTGACCTTCACTGTGTTGATTGGAATCCCAATGATATAAATCTAATTTTGACGGGGTACATTTTACTTATCCAATCAAATAATTTAATTGTAAAATGCTATATGGAGAAATTTGTTGAGGTACTTAGCTTCATCCTTTGCCTCTTGTAGATCTGCCGATAATACTGTTCGCATGTATGATAGAAGAAACCTTACTTCTGGTGGGGTTGGGTCCCCTGTTCACATATTTGAAGACCATACGGCTGCTGTTCTCTGTGTTCAGGTACAAATCATTAATCACGTTTTGCTTTTCGATTTAGGAGTGAATGCTGATGTCTTTTGTTTTTGTAGTGGTCTCCTGCTAAGGCGTCCGTCTTTGGCAGTGCTGCGGAGGATGGTATCTTGAATATCTGGGATCATGCGAAGGTGAATTCTGGGAATTTTTTCGGTTTCTAGCTTTTACCTTCTGGACTGTCGAGAAAATGGAAGTTTTCATGCTGACTAGATTAATTACTACAAATATAACATTATTACAAAAAAGAAAAAAACTAAAAGACTCAGTTATCCTTCAAACTTTACAATTAATCAATTGGGGTATCTTTATTTTACAAAATAAATGTGTGAAGGAGGTAGTAAAACAAATACAAACCATAAATCAAAGTGGTATTTTGTGACCTTAAAGGAACAGTATTTCAGTTTTTCTAAAAGCAAAATTATGCTCACTTTAGGAGTAGTTTTTTTTTTTTTTTTTTNCACCCAATAACTTATATAGCTTGTGGGCGTACTGTCAAAAGATTTATTTCATTTCACGCCCTTTGATTTAAATGCTGAGAAATTAAACTTTTCATATCTTCATCCCGGTTTTCGCTTGTGCTTTAACAAAACTGTTGATGATCCAGGTTGGCAAAACCGTGAATCCTGCTGGAAACTCTGGTTCGCCACCTGGCTTGTTCTTTAAACACGCAGGACACAGGTACTTTGGCTAATAAATCCTACATTGGCATTCACAATCAAATTCTTAAATACATTTTCTTTCTCACATAATACCACGGTTTTGCTAATTAATAAAACAGGGATAAAGTGGTCGACTTTCACTGGAACGCAGCAGATCCATGGACCATCGTGAGTGTGTCAGAAGATGGAGAAAAAACTGGGGGTGGAGGTACACTACAGGTAATTATAAAAAATCATAATCAAGGGTAGTGAGAAAAAAATATCATAATCACACGTAATGATATTTTCATATGAATGATAATTACAAAACCATAGGTATTGGAGATGGGTGCAACTGGTAACGAGCAATGTGTGTTGGGGTACTCTTAGTTTTTGAATGATAATTTGAATTCCTTTAAATTTTTTCCTTATTTAAACTTGATGTCCAGGGTAGTACTCGTGGTTATGACTTAAGATAGTGCCTTTCCATTAGTAATGCGAAATCACATGAAAGACGTGTTGTGCAAATGGATGCGGATAATTTGTGCAGTTTTGTTAATTTGGGATGATCTGTTTTTTAACTTTCTTCTTAAATGAACTTATTTCGTGTAGATATGGCGAATGATTGACCTGATTTATCGACCGGAGGAGGAGGTCATTGATGAACTGGATAAATTCAAAGAGCATTTGCTGACATGTTCTGGTTCTTGATTTCAGATTTGGAAAAGCTGTGAATTATTTAATGTAACCATTAGTACATTGGAGTTAATTGGTGGTTTAGTCATCAAACTTTTGAAGATGGAATGGTTATATTAATTATTTCTCTCTCTTTGTCTCAAGATGGAATTATAAGATTGGTTAATCTGTTTTGGCGATCTTGCGATTATTCTAGTTACGTTTATGTCCAAATGATGTTGACTGTTGAGTATAATCTTCGCATCTGGCCATACATTGCTCCTTTCTGTAAGGTCTTGTGCTTGAATTGTAAGGTGAATTATTGGGTTTTGAGGTTATTTATATTGTGGGAAAATTTGTAGAGTTGCACTTGAAAATGTTTCACCAAGTTTTTTTTCACACAGTAGAAGTTGACTCCATTAACCAAAGAAACAAATACATAGTTTTAACAAACCGGAAATAGCTCCGGAAATAACACAAAAAACGCCGCACCCTGACAATGAGAGATCCACTCAAAGAGTGGTCTAAAATCGATCCCAAACTACGAGCCTTAAGCAGGGACAAACCCCCGAGACTTAAGGTCGTTAAACCACCAATCTACCAACCACATCCTGCTAAAAGCAACACAACAACACAAAGAAAACAAACTACAAGCAAAGAAAACCCGAAAAAAGAAAAACAGAAAAACTGAAGCTATCTACTCGGTCTGTCAGCCCCTTCAAACTCTTGCCATTCCTTCCATGCATTTCTCAATATCACATCTTCCGACATCCATGCTTGCTCAAATAACCATAGATTTCTTGACCTCCATAACCACCACAATATGTATGTGGTCAATTGCATGCGGTCTTCAGAGATAATAGATGAATCAGTAAAACATACCTGCCACCACCATTGCCTAAAGGATGTCTCACTGTGAAGAGCCCCATCCCAGCTGATTGGAGCCCTCTGCCACACCCTTTTGGCTTTCTTGCAAGAAAAGAAGAGAGGTTCTATAGTCTCCTCTTGGTCTCCACATTGCTTGCATATAACATCCACATGGATTCCTTTTTGGCCACATTCACACTGACTGGGAGTATGTTATTGAAACACTTCCATATGAAGTGTTTCAGCTTCCCTTTTACCCTCATCTTCCAGCTCCTTTCTCTTATTTGCTTATCTCTGCCTCCTGAAGAGCTGCTCTCTACAAAGTCTAGCCTCAAAATTTTGCCTGCCATCAAAAGATTATAAGACCCTGCTACAGTAAATCTTCCTTGCTTGTTATGCCTCCATTTCCATTTATCTGGTAGGTCAGGTCTGAGATTTTCAACTTCTAGGATGGCTTTCCTATCACTCTCTGAGAATGCACTTATCAGAATTTCAGTATTCCAGTGCCTTTCCCTCTTCATTTATCAGATCATGACTGAAATCAGGTCTTCATTCTCACTGTTCAGAGGTTTTGGGCTCTTATGTTGAAGTGAAGGCACCCAGCTGTGATCCAGTATCTTTGTCTCTCTTCCACTTCTGATTTCCTTGTACAATCCCTTTGTCAAACTGGGAATAATGTCAACCCAATTGTTCCAGAGCCATGAAGCTGAGCTCACCCTTTTGACTTCAAAGATTGATGTTGAAGGATAATATCTTGCTTTGATGATTCTGCTCACTAGGAGGTCCATATTTGTTGTAAGTTTCCATAACTGTTTCAAAATGAATGCCTTATTTAACAGTTTGTAATCAATGAACCAATTTAGCTTAAGCCATTTATCAGGCACTGAACCGTAAGGTGGGGGAGTACGATTACTAAGCGCGTGCTTGTTTATTAATATATCAATTTATTTTATTTGTTTTTTTGTTAATCAGTGTTAATTTTAAAAATGTTGGTATAATTAGTTGTTAGTGGGATTTTAAGTTTGTGTTAAAATAATATTTACAATAAAATGATTAATGTTGATTTGATTCAAAAGTAGAAGAAAAGTTATTAGAAGTGATAGCTAGTTAAAATTATATGAGTGGATGAATAGTGAATTAAAGTTATGTGATGTATAAGAACGATTGATTGATAATATTAAGGATAGGGCGATTGAGTTAAAATTGAGTGGATGAATAGAGAATTAAAGTTATGTGAAGTATAAGAATGATTGATAATATTAGGGATAGTGCGATTGAGTTAAACTTGAGTTAGATTTTGAGTATTGATCGAGTATGAGTATGAGATATTTTGTAAACAAGCATAAAGCCTTATTTACTTACCGTGACCGGATTGGACTATCTATTCATTGTTGAATTTTAATTGGTATCGGATGCTTACAAAATATGATGTGATTTTACACTTTTACTCAAAATTGTCAAGCATTTACTCGGATTAAAATGTATGATATGGTCCACAATGACCAATTTATAGAGTTAGTTTTTTGCTTGGTTTGCTGGGGTGGTCTTGCCTTTCTTTCTTTGTCTGCACCAGTCCAATCATGATTTGTTTTTTTCAAATGAAACATTCTCCCTGCTCCATGAGGAAACTTTAATAAGATTAAGACAAATTACAATACAACTATACAAGTTGCATAGCAGAGGGATGGAGATGGATGTTACCTGTGGCATATGTGGGGAAGAGGCAGAGAGTCTTGAACATTTATTTTTCCTATGCCCCAGAGCACAACTTTGCTGGAAACTCCTAGGAGTCAGCTCTGCAAACAAAAGACACAAAATTCAAAATTTGGTGGGAGGAAATCTGTGTAATTAAGGGAAGCAGTTGCATGGAAGATAGAATAAGCCTCTCAGTGTACATGCCTGGTGGCTATGGAAAACCCGAAATACCTGGTTGTTCCAAAAGGAGTGGAAGAGTGAGAAGCTCATTGTAAAGGAAGTCCAACCAGAATGGCTGGAATACTGTAATTATCTGAGATCTGAGGTGACTAAAGAAGAGACTAAGGAGACTTCTTCCTTGAAGGTAGGGCAGGTTTTGGCTATCCGCGCCTCTTTGTCTTCTTTTGGTTGTCTAGGAGTGGCCTGCTTAGCTTGGGAAGGAGATGAACAGAGGATGGAATGGAAAGAAACCAGACAGTTTGAGGGCAACCTATTAGAAGCTGAACTGTGGGCAGTAGGCTGGGCCATGCAAAAGATCAAATCCATTGGCTGGAATGAGGCCTGTTGTACGGTGGATAATAGCACCCTGTACTCCTCATTGACATCTCTGCAGGAAAATTCTGGTGTTTGCTCTGTGTTTTGTAATGACATTAAGACTCTTTTTTCATGTTTTTTTTTTCTTTATCTTTTTGCTTAGTAGACAGACTGGATGCTAGAGTTGTTGACTTGGCTAAAATGGCTATGCAGTGAATTTGACTTATTCAAGTTCTTCCATATTTTCACCTCATTATTTATTGTAAGGGGTGAATTTATCTAGAACCATTTGGTTCTCCGATTGTACTTTGTTGAGGTTATGAAAATTTTATTTCTTTGCTGTGGAAAA